AAGATTTATATTTTTGATATTTATTTTATATATTTAATGCAATTTAACAAAGAAAAATCAACAAAAAATTTGAGTTCATAGGTTCACCATCACTGGGCTTTACAAATGATACTCAGGGTTGTTTTTATTTTGTATTAAGAGACAGTGTACGGGAAAGGGCCACCTTGCTTTCTGTAGATGCGTGGAGTTGGTGGCCACGCCTCTGGGCTGGGATGAGCTAAGCTCTTGGGGAGGCGGGGGAAACGGGGGCCGAGCTGGAGTTACAGCTGCTACAGGGGTGGCAGTTGGACCATTGCTGCTGCATGACTTGCAGTCTGTTGTGTTTTGTTTTTTTAAAAAAATATATATATATTTCTTGATTTCAGAGAGGAAGGGAGAGGGAGAGAGAGATAGAAACATCAATGATGAGAGAGAATCATTGATCGGCTTCCTCCTGCCCCACACCAGGGATCAAGCCCGCTACCCAGGCATGTGCCCCCACAGGGAATCTAACCGTAACCTCCTACTTCACAGGTTGATGCTCAACCACTGAGCTATGCCGGCTGGGCCAGGCCATTGTGTTTTGCAAGCCACGAAGTATGTGGAGCCTCAAGTCAAACAACACTTTCAAAGTCTACCAACATCTGCCTTCAGTGGTGGCTATTACACGTGGGTTTGAACCCAACATAACAAAATGGGAAACGGAATTCACATGGGGTAAGCCCTACTGCCAATAAAGGAAAAATAAGAGATGCGCATTAGTGAATTATGCTTTTAACCCTCCTAGACGATCCCTTCAATGAAGCTGAAGGTTCACTAGAAGGCCAAGCCAAAACAAAGTGAACATATAGGATGAAAAAAGTTCTTATCATGTTATGTACACGAGTACCAGCTTTTTATAATAAATGGTCTGAAGCTACACATTTTAAAAATGATTTTGCACAAACTAAGTCAAAGCCTTGGATAAGTTTCCTTTTAAATTTGAGGATTTAAAATCAGATTATAGAATATTTAGAGATGAATGCTTAGTAATTATGGATAAATACACACTATTTGAATAGATCTATTCTTCATTACTCATTTAGCAAAGAATTGGGTACTTATTTCAAGGCAAAGAGAGCATGAACATCTCTGCTCTCACAGAACCTCAATCTAATGGAGACTGAAAAACTGGTAACAGAACATGATAACTATTATGATGGAATTAGTGATGGTGAACTTATCTCATTGGGTACAGAGAGCTGGCTCAGCTGAATTTAAAAGTGAGTAGCCATGCCAACTGGCATGGCTTAGTGGTTGAGGGTTGATCTATGAACCAGGACATATGCTTGGTCTGGGTCTCCATCTCTAGTGTGGGGTGTGCATGGGCAGCCGATCAATGATTCTCACTCATCATTTTTGTTTGTATCTCTCCCTCCCTCTCCCTTCCTCTCTGAAATCAATACAAATATATTGATTTAAAAAATAAAAGTGAGTAGCCACAACTTTGACCTAAGAAACTGATATAAGTAGGTATATGTCCCCGACAGAACTCAGATTTCACACGTTAAAAACTTGATGAAAAGTAAAAAACAAATCAAAACAGCTTAAGGGACAATGTTCACAGGAGGTAAACACTTCACAGATTTCCTGCCAGGCATCCACACTGGCCCTGACCCGGCGGTGCCCCTCACCACATCTGCTGCTGCCCCGAGGGGTCCATGCCCGTGGTCGGCTCGTCCAGCAGCACCGCCGATGGGTTTCCCAGGATGCTCAGCGCGAAGCACAGCTAGAAGGAGAGGAACAGCGCATCTGGCATGGATCTGGGATCTGTGGGCCTCGCGGGGTAACCCCAGCCCCAACCCTACCTTTCTCTTGATTCCCTCTGACAAGGCCTTCACAGGGCGCTTCTGCTCCTCCTGCAGCTTGAGCGCCTCCACCAACCTGAAGCAAACACAATGGGGGCTACAGGCTTCTAAGAACCAGGACACTTGGTGGGAGAGCGAGCCACGCAGGACCAGGTGGGGAACAGAGCTCCGAAATGCGGTTCTGACATAGACGCCTGGCCATGTTGCATTGAACTGGTTTGACGCCCGCCCCCCAAATTAGTTTTTCCCTTTGAAAGATTTGAGGCCATTTTATGACATGCAAATAGCTGTCCTATGATAGTTTACACTTAAATTTTAGTATTTTTGATAAATTTACCAATACATACTTTGTTCTTTCCATATTTAAGATGAGAAAATAGAGGAGAAACCAAGATGGCGGCATAGGTAAACACCGGAGATTGCTGCCTCGCACAACCACTTCAAAAATACAACTAAAAGATGGAACGGAAATCACTCAGACCACAGGAAGGCTGGCTGAGGGGAAATTCTACAACTAGAAGGAAAGAGAAAAGCATACCGAGACTCAGAGGAGGTGCAGTGGGGAAAATACAAAGGTGCGGAGGTGCATGAGGAGCGGGCTGGTGGCTGAGGGCGCGGTTGTCTGTTTCAATTGGGAGGGAGTCTCAGGCTCTGAGCTCCAGTTCCGGGCAAGTCTCTGGGGACCCAGACTCAAACGGGAGAAGCGGGACTGTCTGGCATCGGTCGGAACTCGAGGGCAGCTTTCTCTCCGAGGTTTGCAGCGGTTGCTGGGACTCTGAGAGGCAGAGCCTCTGGAGACGGGACTGAGAGCAGCCATAACTGCTCGCTCCACCCGCCCTGTAGATCCCCTGGGACCTGCCCCGCCCAAGCCCTGCACAGAGGCATTTGCCGGATAGCCTCAGGCAAAGGCTACATTAGCACCTCCTTAGAGGACAGTAGTTCTCCCACTGCAGACACAGCTGATTCGCACAGCCAGTTGGCCTGGAGGTCAAGTAGTAATTACCTACAACAATCAAGGCTTAACTACAACAAGACTGCGCACAAAGACCACAAGGGGGTGCACAAAGAAAGCATAAAAAATGCGGAGACAAAGAAACAGGACACAAATGACAGAAATGGAGGATATAGAGTTCAAAACCACACTTTAAGGTCTCTCAAGAACTGTCTAGAAGCCGCTGATAAATTTAGTAAGACCCTCGAAAAGACTGGTTAGAACACCGTTAAATTTAGTAAGGCCCTCGAAAAGACTGGTGAGACAGCCGATAAATTTAGTAAGGCCCTCGAAAAGACTGGTGAGACCGCTGAGAAATATAGTGAGATCCTCAAGAAATCTAATGAGACCCTCGATGTTGTGATAAAGAACCAACTAGAAATTAAGCATACACTGACTGAAATAAAGAATATTATACAGACTCCCAACAGCAGACCAGAGGAGCGCAAGAATCAAGTCAAAGATTTGAAATGTGAAGAAGCAAAAAACACCCAACCGGAAAAGCAAAATGAAAAAAGAATCCGAAAATACGAAGATAGTGTAAGGAGCCTCTGGGACAGCTTCAAGCATACCAACATCCAAATTATAGGGGTGCCAGAAGATGAGAGTGAGCAAGATATTGAAAACCTATTTGAAGAAATAATGACAGAAAACTTCCCCTACCTGGTGAAAGAAATAGACTTACACGTCCAGGAAGCACAGAGAACCCCAAACAAAAGGAATCCAAAGAGGACCACACCAAGACACATCATAATTAAAATGCCAAGAGCAAAAGACAAAGAGAGAATCTTAAAAGCAGCAAGAGAAAGAAACTCAGTTACCTACAAGGGAATACCCATACGACTGTCAGCTGATTTCTCAACAGAAACTTTGCAAGCCAGAAGGGAGTGGCAAGAAATATTCAAAGTGATGAATACCAAGAACCTACAACCAAGATTACTTTATCCAGCAAAGCTATCATTCAGAATTGAAGGTCAGATAAAGAGCTTCACAGATAAGGAAAAGCTAAAGGAGTTCATCACCACCAAACCAGTATTATATGAAATGCTGAAAGGTATCCTTTAAGAAGAGGAAGAAGAAGAAAAAGGTAAAGATACAAATTATGAACAACAAATACACATCTATCAACAAGTGAATCTAAGAATCAAGTGAATAAATAATATGATGAACAGAATGAACTGGTGATTATAATAGAATCAGGGACATAGAAAGGGAATGAACTTACTATTCTTGGGGGGGGGGGAAATGGGTGTGGGAGATGCGGGAAGAGACTGGACAAAAATCGTGCACCTATGGATGAGGACAGTGGGTGGGGAGTGAGGGCGGAGGGTGGGGTGGGAACTGGGAGGAGGGGAGTTATGGGGGGAAAAAGAGGAACAACTGTAATAATCTGAACAATAAAGATTTAATTAAAAAAAATAAGATGAGAAAAGAAAATAACATGTTAATATCAGGAAAACCAGTTTGTGATCGCAAATCTCCCCATTGGGGTCTGGGTCAGCGTTGAGTCACCTGGGAAGTCTTGAGTTTCCTGTGAAGGCTGTCACTCCAACTGACTTCCTGGACCTCTCAGCTGTGTCCTCCTCCTGCCCCCCTCCCCGCCCCTTCCCCCCTTGTACCGTGTGATGGTGACCGTGGCATCTGCTTTCCTCAGCCCTTTCACCGCAGCGAACACGTCCAGGTGCTGCCTCACTGTCAGGTTGGGCCACAGCCCCTTCTCCTGAGGACAGTACCCCAGGAACCCCAGAGGGTCCCCTTCGCTGCTGCCTTTTAGTAGCACCTGCAGAGAAAACTTCCCTCTCAGACCCGACGGCCTGCCTTGCTCCTCTGTGTTCCCATGACATCTTTCTCCTTACAAACCTAGAAAAACTAGAGAAATTCTCCGAGCACATTGCCTCAAATCACCTGCAACCATTTTGCATTGGAAGAAGGTTGTCAGAGTGTAAATACCTGGCAACGAACAGATATTCAGGGCAAGTGACTTTAGGTAGGGCGATCCGAGAAAGCCTGCCTGCTGAGGGACCATTGCAGCAGGAGGGTGACAGGGCGCCTGCCCTGGAAAAGGCCAGGAGTTTGGGGTAGAGCAAAGCCCTGTGGAGGGATGCTGCTCAATGTGCTCTCAGACCCCAGGCTACAGTAGGGGATCTGGAGCCGAGGGGTCCAGGGGAGAAGAGAGAGATGTGATAGGAGGGTCGTGGGAATTAGCAAGGAGAGGTTTCCTTCCAGCCACAGTGCAGTGAGAGGTCACTGAATGTATTTCAGCAGGACAATGACCTTTTATAAAGATCTCACTGACTGATCTGATTCAAGCTGGTTTCATGACACCCAAATGGTTATTGGGTTTATAATTCAGATCTCACGTAACCTTTAGACATATTTCATTCCAAGATCTCAATGAATGGTTACCTCTTTTTTTGCCCCTGCTTAAGGAGAAATAAAATATTGATTTTATTTCAAGGGGCTGCTCTCAACTGAACTAAGCACTCCCATTAGGCTGGCTGAGCCACCAACATCACCCAGAGGCACCTTTCATGAACACCTGCTCTCACCTCAGCTTCAGAGCAACTGTGAATATGTTTCCTCCTTCCTCTTTCCTGGGACACCTGCCAATCACGTTCTTGGTGGTCTTCCCCTTGGTGGGCGTGACCACCAGCCCCTTTCCCATGGTGGAGGTGCACAAACCTCTGCCTTAGGATTCTGTTCTCCACTCCCCCCACCCCGACATACCTTTCAGAGGAGCTCTTAAGGTTACCTATCTCCTGCCATAGAATTTCAGTTTTCTCTGTAACTCATGTTGTTTCTTTGATAAATTCAGCTCTTTTTCTTTGCCTGGCCTTCTATGCAGTTGAATTGCATGGATAATTCTGTCAACCTCATATCCCGATTGCTCTACTTGGAGCCATTCCTTGAAAACACTCACCTAAGATACTGTGTTTCTACCAAAATATGTGTTACAGTAACTAAGCACTTGTAAAGAAACACACACACACACACACACACACACACACACACACATTTTAATTCATAATAGGAGGACAGTGCTCATTGAAAGTGCAAATCGAAGTGTTTTATGGTAGTATAATAGGACTTGTATAAATTCTGAGATTGGCCATTTCCACGAATTGCCTTTACAGGCATGAATAATTATTCCCTTTCAGTGATTAATTTTGTTGTGTGTTAATGTGATAATTTGTAATGGGTATTCAGCCACATTAATCACTTCATTCATCTAATGAATAAGTGAGATTTTGCTGGTTATAACAATTTGACATCTTATGAAATTTATCTTGAGCACCACTAGGTAATGTATTTTCCACATGATTCACCTACCTGTCCAGCAGTTGGTTTGGTGTCTCCAGTTATCACTTTAATGGATGTACTTTTACCAGCTCCATTGTGTCCTAGTAATCCTAAAACCTCACCTGGAAAAAAAGGTCACATTTAGTACAAATTGATTTTAATAATAAAATTAAGAATAAAACATAGTCTGAAGCCTCACTGTGACAAGTATTCTATGTGATTTGTAGGTAATGTCTCATTCAATTGTCATATCCCCCCACCCCCAGAGGTAATCATAACCCTTTCTTACATATTTGGGAACAAAAGCCCTTAGGGATGAGGTTAGTTGCTCAAAGTCACACTGATGGAAAGTGACAAAGTCACTCTTGGAAGCTAGGTGTATGACACCACACATCTCCTGTGATCCTAAGAACTGTGCAATAATGTCACAAAATGAAGTCAAGTGCCATCTGCCGGTCAAGCCTTCAGAACATGCTGGCACATTCTTTTTGTTTTCTTGTGAAAAATAATGAATGTTAGGAAATTAATCGTGTTCATTATAGAGAACAGCACATTTTTGGGGTTTCAATGGTTTATTTCAATAGAGTGCTTATGGTTTCCATGCCCATGTGACTAAGTCCTTATCTATGGGCATGACTTAGTTAATTTCTCTAGGAATGAGCCATGTAAAAGGAGCTGTCAAGGTCACCCCACTGATGGGTCTGTGTGCGAACCAAGAGGTGGTCACAGAATGATTCTCATCAAGAACCACAAAGCGCGAAGGAGGGCTCCGAGCCAGCAGTGGGAGAGCCTCCATGTCCAACCTTTTCTGACACAGAAAGAGACATTCCTTGTGGCGATTTTCTTCTTCTTCTTGGAAAAGCAGTGTTTCCTCCTCACTGTGTACTCCTTGCGTAGACAGCTGGCAATAATGGCTGGTCTCTGTAAATGACAAGTACGTCATGTCAGACATTAAGACTCTCTATTGACCTCAAACAAGCTTTAGCCTCCGACTGAGCTAGCCCCTGACTGCACAAGCCATGCCTCCAAGAAGACTTCCTACTAGATGACAGGTTTATGGGCCATTCTCCTATCTTAGCACTTATGTTTCCCTCTCCTACAAGGGCACTCACTCAGGAACACATTATTTTATGCAGCCAGCCCATCTCTCAGAACAGAAGCAAAGAGACTTGGAGAAGCACCAAATCACCCTCCAAGGACAAACAACACATTGTGGACTCGACTTTGCCCTGCATTTTGTAGTGTCCTTTCTCCAAGAAGCAGTGATTGGGGTCACTTAGCTCAGTTTCTAAAATTCACAAATTCTTTCTTGGCTTCAGAAATTTCAATTTCACTCCATTTTTAAGATTTATTTTCTATGAAAGACAAAGTGAGTTAAAATGATTTTTTAATCTGTGCTCATTTAGATGTAAAAATAATGACTACCTGCTAAAATAAAGTTATGATCCTCATTTGTATGAATTAAAGAAACGTAAAATCATTTGAGAATTAGATGCTTTCTGATTTTATTCATTTGTGTTAGTTGTTGAAATAACTACTTTGTGTGTTTTTACCTCATCAAAGTTTGTGGAATTCAAGGCATTTGCTGTTCTCACTCTTTCCATCTCAACATCTTCATCCTCCTCCTCGGGCTCCTCTGGATTTTGGTGTACATCACTGCTTCTTGGAGAAATCCTGCAGTCAAACCATCCATTAATAATTGATTTCGGTTTTTTATCCTCGTATCAAAAACACTGCATTCTTTAAATCTTATACTTGAGTAGACTGGGTGATTAATAACCCATCATAATTTCTCTTCAATCCAGTGAAATCTCCACGCCCCGTCCAAATGCAAATAGGATGCTTGATCACCTGTTAAGGTTAGGCATTTCTTTGGAATATGTGTCAGATTCACTAATTTTCCTCCATTCTAACTCCGTCCCTCATACTCTCTTCCTTCTAGTCTCTCTTCCTTCAACCTAAATCTCCCATACTGATCTTAGAAGACTTCTTAAAAGTCTTCTTGTATCTGGGAAGTTTCCCATGCAACTATCGGTAAGAGTTATCAATGAAACTGATGGGGAATAAGATGCTTATGGTTGCATCATTGAATGATGGGAACAGTCTCAGCTTTGAAGTGCCATGAATGACTGAACCAGTCTATGGTCCACCAGTTGAACTTCTCACTATCACAGGAAAAGAGCTATTGCCGTCTTTGACCTATTGATCATTCTATTCTTCCATTCTGGACCGACTGCATTCCATCGTCACTGTCAATCTATTCACATTAAGTGCTGTTTAAACTGAATGAGCTGGATGTAACTTTCCCTAGTGTTCCACTGCACAGTGTCAGACAGAGTCTTTAATATTCAATGTTTTAGGTCTGTTTGCTCCACTATTTATAATCTTTGATTTTAGTCCCTATATCTCTATTATTTATATTGACACATGGTTCCTACCCCAGCCCATTCTAGTTCTTAGCATTTCTTTGTTAATGGATTAATTTGTGCATAAAATTATTTTAAAACAGTGATCACTGAAATAAAAGAATCAAATTTCATTTCTCCAGACCGAAAGAAGGGATCCTTTCTCATTGATATCTTTCCAAACTTCCATTCCAGACATCGAAGAATAAAAATCACAACAATAAGTTGCAAGAAAGGCTAGGAATAAAGAGATGCATAATTAAAAACACTAAAAGAAAATCATTTCACATTAAAAGTGAGTTAGGAATAATTAGACTTCTACAAAGATGCATTTGGCAAAATCATTACCAATTTCCAATCATCTATTTGTCAAACTTTGAAACTAGCAAATTCACTTTCAACCTTGTTTACAGAAACGTAAGAAACAAGTATAATTGTGTGATACCATTATTTTAAATAAGTTTCTCTAATAGTTATACAGTGTACTTAAAAATTGGGACGCATATTATCTCCATAGTTGATTTTTATAAAAAATATTCTATTTTTACAAATATTTTATCTCTATGCGCTACAAATACCTATATATCCACACTAATAAAAAGTTTCACTGTGTTTAAAGGAACTAAACTAGTTTAGTTAGTAAAATACATGATAAATTTTAAAGAAGAATATGTTCTTACAATTAGGAATAGCAGAACGAGCTCTCCATCAATTGAAAAAAGCCACCCATGCTGCAAAAAGAAAGACAATGGTTAAAGAAGAAAGTTTTCATTTTGTGGGTTTTTGCCATATAAAGTGAATTGGCCCATTTGAACAACCCTCCTGGCATACCCCCTGAAGAGTACTGGCTAAGGGTCCATTCCACAATGTGTAGTGAGGAGCTGTCTTCCTTCCTCCCAAGGTTTACGAGCCATTGTGCTTTTATTTGAAGCAATAGGATTGAGCAGTTATTCATCACCTGGTGAGAGAATCTTGGGGTCTGTTGTGCTAGCCTCCCCAAACATTGAGAGAGGGGCAGATTTAACCTTTATCACACAGACCTTCACACACCTGCTGGTGCTCACTGCCCCTTTCATAAGTCCCCTTTCTTTCCTTTCTCTTCCCTATGGATACCCCTTAACTCACATACTGTACCTTCCTTCCATAGGTAGAAGTATAGGTATCAGTCAGCTAGAAAAAGGATCGAGAGCTTCTCTAGAATCCTGAAATCCCTAAGATTAGAGACATTTAATTTGGCTCCTTCTAGAGCTGAGCATGCCCAAGAGTGTATAAAGCCCTGATTGAGTATAAAGGCTGCTTTATACTCAACCCATTATTGTTATTTATTCTTCCTCCCCACCCATCAACTAGGGTCAACTATTCTATTACAGTTCAGCTGGAGCATATTGTCCTATCTGGAGAGAGATTCAGTTGGAAGCATGAAGTAGAAATCTTCAAATGTCATACATACTGAACATGTTGCAGAGTCCCAGCCCTAAGCAAAGCTTTCACCATTGGTTGTGAGTTCCAGGACACTGGAGCAGATGGTGGCATTACTTACATAAAAAGATAAGATCATACAGGCAACTAATGCAGTGTGTGGCGTTATCAAGTTGATGAAAAACAGTAAAATGTTTTCAGACATTCCCACCAGAATGATGACCATACCGAAATGGGTGATCTAAAAAGAAAAACAAAGCATATTAACCACTCTGAACATCAATAGATGCTCCAAATTAAGATGGCTCATCTTGGAGATATTCCTAACTTCCACTTGACCCTGAAAACCAAGCTGAAATGAGCGGATCTCCATGGACATTTTCTCTTGATGACTCAGGCACATTCCTTTGGCCTGGAGGATCATGAATGAGACCTCACTAGATAAAGCTAGGATCTAATATAGAGAGCATTTTAAATATAGAAAAGAAAAAAGGTAGTGATATTATTTTTTGCGGTAAAATTTAGAATTGTATGTAAGCAATAATCATAGGTAAAAATTTAAATTGAATTTTAATAGGATTGCCCAGCCACTGTGGCTGACTGGTTGAGCATCTGAACTATGAACTAGGACAGTGATGGTGAACCAATGACACACGTTTCAGAGGTGACACGTGAACTCTTCTTTGTTTGATTTTTTCTTGTTAAGTGGCATTTAAATATATAAAATAAATATCAAAAATATAAATCTTTGTTTTACTATGGTTGCACATATCAAAAAATTTCTATATGTGACACAACACCAGAGTGAAGTTAGGGTTTTTCAAAATGCTGACACGCTGAGCTCAAAAGGTTCGCCAACACTGAACTAGGAGGTCACGGTTCAATTCCCATTCTGGGCCCGTGCCCAGGTTGATGGCTTGATCCCCAGTTTGGGGTGTGCAGGAGGCAGTCAATCAATGGTTCTCTCTCATCATTGATGTTTCTAAATCTCTCTCTCCTATCTCTTCCTCTCTGAAAGCAATAAAAACATATATTTAAAAAAAGACATCTAATAGGAATAAAGCAACAATAAAAGAATACATGTTAACTATACCAATGGAGAAATATAAGCATTTAAAAACCTGGAGTGGCTTAGTACTAGTACTAAAATACAAAATTCAGGAGAAGAGAAAGTTATAAGTACATCTGCCCCTCTCACACATTTTCTTCTCAACTACTGTAATGCCTTGCTAACAGTTTCTGTACTTCTAATTTCTCTCTGTTACAAACCATCACGTCTATGGCTTCCAGAATATTCTTCCTAAAAGTGTGTCTGTGGTCATATTTCTTTTCTGAATTATTAGCTTCCATGAGAGTGAGTGAGAGAGGGAAACATCAATTTGTTGTTCCACCCATTCATTGGTTGATTTTTCTATGTGTCCTGACTAGGTATCAAACCCACAACCTTGGCATATTGGATGATGCTCTAACCAACAGAGCTACCTGGATAGGGCTGTAGAATAAATTCTTGAGCCAATCATTTAAGGCGAGTCATGATTCCAACCATTATGTTCACCACGACTAGGACCATGCTCAGGCTGTAGCCAGTTTTCTACCCACATTCATATCAGATTATTACCAGTAGTTAGGACATTTTTCTAGTGTGGACACTCTCCCCTTTGGATTTTGGTTTGTCCACTCTTTTCTATTTGCATCATCATTCTTCTCCAAATGTTGAAATCTAATTTTTCCTCATGTTTCACTCCCGGAAGGAAAACTCTGCCCTCATTTTTATGAATGACTCTCTCCCTTTTCTGGTTTTCATAGACCTCTTTATTACTCAGTTGTGTTAGATTTTATTTATTTATTTTTAAATATGTTTTTATTGATCAGAGAGAAAGGGACAGGGGGACAGAGATAGAAACATCAAGGATGAGAGAGAATCTTTGATTGGCTGCCTCCTGCACACCCCCTCTGAGAATAAAGTCCACAACCTGGGCATGTGCCCTTGACCAGAATCGACCCCAGGACCCTTCAGTCTACAGGCCGATGTTCTATTCACTGAGCCAAACCAGATAGGGTGGTTGTGTTAGACTTTTAAAGATGGATGGTATCTTGGTAACTTTTACCTTATCACTGATTTAGGAATTGGCTGTTTACTCATCTATTTAACATTGAGCACTCTTTCAGTGTTAAAACTGTAGACGACCGAGAGGAGCCACCACAGCTGTGAACAGCACACACCAGAGGAGCTGCTGCCAACTGAGGAGCAGCTGATACCACAACCGTCCAAGGAGCAACTGCAGCCCGAGGAGCCACTGCCACCCAACGAGCAGCCACTGAATGACTCAACATCTAGATATGTTGGTGAGATCAAACATGGATAGACAAAGAAACCCCCAGAGGAAAGAAAAGGAGAACGCGCCAGAAAAGCAGCTAAGTGATACAGAGGCATGCAACATGACAGAAAAAGAATTCAGATTAAGGGTCCTAGAGTGCATAAACCGGATGGAGGACAAAAATCAACAACTAATGCAAGAATCAAGAAGAAACGGATGAAAAAAATCAACAACTTATGTAAGAATCAAAAAGAAATGGATGAAAAAATCAATAACTTAGGTAAGAACCAAGAAGAAATGAAGACCGATATAGCTGCAATAAAAAACACCATTGAAAGTTTCAACAGTAGACTAGGAGAAGCAGAGGACCGAATTAGTGAATTAGAAGACAGGGAAGCAAAACACACCCAAACTGAACTGCAATTGGAGAAAAAAATTAAAAGACAGGAGGAGAGCCTAAGGGAGCTTTGGGACAACATGAAACGAAACAACATACAAATGATAGGGGTGCCAGAACAACAGAAAGAGGAACAATGATTAGAAAACCTATTTGAAGAATTAATATCAGAAAACTTCCCTGAGGTGGGGAAGAAAAAAGTCACACAAGCACCGAGAGCCCCAAACAAGGTGAACCCGAAAAGACCCACACCAAGACACATCATAATTACCATGGCAAATGTTCAGGACAAAGAGAGAATCTTACAGGCTGCAAGAGAGAGATGGAAAGTTACATACAAGGGATCTCCCATTAGATTATCAAATGATTTCTCAACAGAAACACATCAGGCCAGAAAAGAATGGACGGAAATTTACAAAGTGATGCAAAGCAAAGGACTGAACCCAAGAATATTCTATCCAGCAAGGCTATCATTCAAAATTGAAGGGGAAATAAGAAGCTTCACAGGCAAAAAAAGGCTAAGGGAGTTTATCACCACCAAGCCGGCAATGCAGGAAATACTAAAAGCACTGGTGTAAAAAGAAGAAATAAAAAGCTCAGAAAGAAAACAGGCACAGAAAATAGAAATGGCTACAAACAAGTACCTTTCAATAATAACTTAAAAACGTAAACGGACTAAATGCCCCAATTAAAAGACATAGAGTGGTTGAATGGATAAAAAAACATGACCCATATATTTGCTATCTACAAGAGACCCACCTCAGAAGAAGGGACTCACACAGGCTGAAAGTGAAGGGCTGGAAAAATATCTTTCAGGCAAATGGAAATGAAAAAAAGCTGGGATAGCAATACTTATATCTGACAAAATAGACCTCAAAGTGAAGGCCATAACAAAAGATAAGGAAGGCCACTTCATAATACTAAAGGGATCAATACAACAAGAATATATAACCCTGATAAACATATATGCACCTAATGCAGGAGCACCCAAATACATAAAAAAACTCCTGAAGATATCAAAGAGAGATCAAAAACAATACAATCACAGTAGGGGACTTTAATACACCACTGACATCACTGGATAAATCCTCTAGACAAACAGTCAGCAAAGAAGCAGCAATCCTAAATAACTCACTAGACCAGATGGACTTAATTGACATCTTCAGAACATTTCATCCTAAAGCCACGGAATATACATTCTTCTCAAGTGCTCATGGGACATTTTCAAAAAGAGACCACATATTGGGTCACAAACAAAGTCTCCCCAATTTCAAGAAGACTGAAATCATACCAGCCATCTTCTCAGACCACAATGGCATAATATTAGAAATAAACTACAATAAAAACAACCCAAAATACTCAAACACTTTGAAGCTGAATAGGATGTTATTAAATATTAATTGGGTTACCAATGAGATCAAAGAAGAAATTAAAAAACAAAAAACAAAAAAAAAAACAACAAAACAAACAAAAAAAGAAATTAAAAACATCCTGGAAACTAGTGACAATGAAAACACAACAATCCAAAACCTATGGGACACAATGAAAGCAGTCCTGAGAGGGAAGTTTATAGCTTTACAGGCCTATCTCAAAAAACAAGAAAAAATGGTAGTAAATCATCTAACTCTACATCTCAAATAATTAGAAAGAGAGCAACAAGAAAAGCCCAGAGTGTGCAGAAGGAAGGAGATAATAAAGATTGGAGCAGAAATAAATGACATAGAGACCAAAAAAAAAAAAAATACAGAAAATCAAAGAAACCAAGAGCTGGTTCTTTGAAAGGATAAACAAGATTGGTGAACCTCTAGCCAGGCTCACCAAGAAGTAAAGAGAGAGGACCCAAATAAACAAAATCATAAATGATAGAGGCGAAATAACAACAGACCCCACAGAAATACAAATGATTGTTAAAAAATACTATGGACAACTCTACTCCAACAAACTAGACAACCTGGAGGAAATGGACAAATTCCTAGAAAAATACAACATTCCAAACTTAATCAGAAAGAATCTAAAAATCTCAATAGGCCAATGACTATGGAAGAAATTGAAGCAGTCATCAAAAAGCTTCCAGCAAACAAAAGCCCAGGACCAGACAGCTTCACAGGGGAGTTTTACCAAACATTCGAGGAAGAACTAAAATCTATCTTCCTCAGACTACTACAAAAAATTCAAGAGGAAGGAACACTTCCAAGCTCATTCAATGAAGCCAGCATCACCCTGATACCAAAACCAGGTAAAGACAACACAATGAAAGAGAATTACAGGCCAATATCTCTCATGAACATAGATGCCAAAATCCTCAACAAAATCTTAGTAAATCAGATCCAGCAGTACATCAGAAAGATCATACACCATGACCAAGTAGGATTTATCCCAGGGATGCAAGGATGGTACAATATCCCCAAATGAATAAACGTGATACATCACATAAACAAATTGAAAGAAAAAAAACACATAGTCATATCAATTGATGCAGAAAATGCATTTGACAAAATCCAACACCCATTTTTGATAAAAACTCTCAGCAAGGTGGGAATAGAAGGATCATACCTCAACATCATAAAAGCCATATATGACAAGCCCACAGCCAACATCATACTCAATGGACAAAAACTAACACCATTTTCCCTAAGAACAGGAACAAGACAAGGATGCCCACTCTCACCACTCCTGTTCAGCATAGTCCTGGAAGTGTTAGCCATTGCAATTAGGCAAGAAGAAGAAATAAAAGGCATCCAAATTGGAAAAGAAGAAGTAAAACTGTCCTTATTTGCAGATGACACGATATTATACATAAATAACCCTAAATACTCCATCAAAAAACTATTAGACTTATTACATGAATTTGGCAATGTTGCAGGATACAAAATTAACCCCAAGAAATCTAAGGCATTTCTATACACCAATAGTGAACTTACAGAAAGAGAGACTAAAAAAACAATCCCATTTACCATCGCACCAAAAAAATTGATACCTAGGAATAAACTTAACTAAGGAGCTAAAAGACCTCTACTCAGAAAACTACAGGACATTGAAAAAAGAGATAGAGGAAGACATAAACTGATGGAAGAACATACCATGTTCTGGGATTGGTAGAATCAACATCATTACAATGTCCATACTACCCAAAGCAATCTATAAATTCAACGCACTTTCCATTAAAATACCAATGGCATATTTGACAGACCTAGAATGAACTCTCCAAAAATTCATCTGGAATAAAAAAAGACCCCAAATAGCTGCAGCGATCCTGAAAAGAACAAAGTAGGTGGGATCTCAATACCAGATAGCAAGCTGTATTACAAAGCCACTGTTCTCAAAACTGCCTGGTACTGGCACAAGAACAGACATATAGATCAATGGAATAGAATAGAGAGCCCAGAAATCGACCGGAACCAATATGCTCAATTAATATTTGCAAAGGTGGCAAGAACATACAATGAAGTCAAGATAGTTTCTTCAATAAATGGTGTTGGTGAAATTGGACACATACATGCAAAAAAAATAAAAAAGAACCTATACCACCAACTTACACCATACACAGAAATAAACTCAAAATGGATAAAGGACTTAAATGTATGACTGGAAACCATAAAAATACTAGAAGAATCCAAAGGCAACAAAATCTCAGACATATGCCAAAGCAATTTCTTCACCGATACAGCTCCTAGGGCATTGGAAACTAAAGAGAAAATAAACAAATGGGACTACATCAAAATAAAAAGCTTCTGCACAGCAAAAGAAACCATCAACAAAACAACAAGAAAGCCCACTGCATGGGAGAACATATTTGCCAGTGTTATCACCAATACAGGTTTAATCTCCAACATTCATAGGGAACTCATACAACTTAGCAAAAGGAAGATAAACAATCCAATCAAAAAATGGGCAAAGGACCTAAATAGACACTTTTGAAAAGAGGACATTCAAAAAGCCAAGAGACATATGAAAACATGCTAAAAGTCACTAATCATCTGAGAGATGCAAATCAAAACAATAATGAGGTACCATCTCACACCTGTCAGAATAGCTATCATCAACAAATCAACAAACGACAAGTACTGGAGAGGATGTGGAGAAAAAGGAACACTCGTGCACTGCTGGTGGGAATGCAGACTGGTGCAGCCACTATGGAAGACAGTATGGAGTTTCCTCAAAAAACTAAAAATGGAACTCCCATTTGACCCTGTGATCCCACTTCTAGGAATATATCCCAAGAAACCAGAAACACCAATCAGAAAGGATATATGCACACCTATGTTCATAGAAGTACAATTCACCATAGCTAAGATCTGGACACAGCCTAAGTGCCCATCAGTAGATGAATGGATTAGAAAACAGTGGCACATCTACACGATGGAATACTATGCTGCTGTAAAAAAGAAGGAACTCTTACCATTTGCAACAACATGGATGGAACTGGAGAGCATTATGCTAAATGAAATAAGCCAGTTAATGAAGGAAAAATACTACATGATCTCACTCCTTTATGGATAATAAAGACCATTATAAACTTATGAACAAAAATAGATACAGAGGCAGAGCAGCCTCGAACAGACTGTCAAACTACAGCGGGAAGGCCGGGTAGGGTAGGGTGGGAGAAGGGGGGGTAAGAGATCAACCGAAGGACTTGTATGCATGCATATAAGCATAACAATGGACATAAGACACTGAGGGGTAGGGGAGGCCAGGGGATTGTTAAGGACGGGGGAAAAAAGGAGACATATGTAATACTCTTTGTAATACTTTAAGCAATAAAACAATTAATCAACAAATGAGTGGATTAAAAAACTGTGGTACATCTACACAATGGAATACTATGCTGCGGTAAAAAAGAAGGAACTCTTGCCTTTTGCAACAGCATGGATGGAACTGGAGAGCAATATGCTAAGTGAAATAAGCCAGTCAGAGAAAGAGAAATACCTCATGATTTCTCTCATTTGTGGAATATAGAGAACAACATAGACTGATGAACAGGGACAGACCCAAAGACAGAGAAATAGCGATCAGACTATTAAAACCCAGAGGGAGAGTAGGGGAGGGAGGGGGCAAGGGGAAGAGATCAACCAAAGGACTTGTATGCATGCATATAAGCCAAACCAATGGACATGGACAACTGGGGGATTAGAGCATGGGGGGCGGGGTGGGAGGATGGGGGTTTAATGGGCGGGATGAGGACACATTTGTAATACATTAACTAATAAAGAATTAAAAAAAAACTGTTGATGACCAGAAATTATAATAGATGCTTATAGATTACATATATTTTCTCCTAATTTAGATAAATTAAGTGTCGCTTTATGGAATTCTTAGTAGAGAGTTGGAGAAGTTGCTTCTAGTTTTAACTAAGCTGGTTACAGTATTTGCATAATGTCAGGGAGATCTTTGGGGTTATTTCTTTTTCAGTAAAAAGAAAATACAGATGGTTTTCCAGGTTTCCTTCTGTTAAATATTTTATGCCGAGAAAAAATGTGGCCACTTTTCAAGAAAGACCGGGTAGAAATAGGGAGAGGGAAAGAGGCAGATTTTGAAGAGGATCCATATCTAAGGCAGGGAAACTTTAAATATGTTAGACTCTCATATTAATGTATTTTACCAAGGGCAAATTTAAACTACTATCCCAGAATCATACATTACATGTATAAAATACGTGTTCAAAAGAAACATACTTACAACAAAGTAGCCCAAAGACCAAATGCCACTATTTTTTCTCCCCTTTCGAAAAATGAATGAAATTATATACGTAAAGAAAACAAGGGATGGTACAGAACCAATAGCACATGGGATCTGAAAAAAAAGAAGTGCTGCATTTTAGTTAAAGACAAATGTAATCTAAGAAAACATTTAAGATTCAAAACATTGGCACAGCACCAGGTCTTATAGTTATTAATAATTTATGACCATGTGACTATCAATGAAAACAGTTTGCATTTTCAAAGTTTCTAACCATGTCATACAGTGATAATTTGCTGGATGAATATTGTAACTTACTTGCTCATTGTGAAGTATAAATTCAAACATATTTTCTTTGAAGCTTAAAATAAACTCCAATAAATATATTAGAAGGAACATCAGCCAGTATAGTGGGACGTCCACCAACGCCTGCCCAAGCCAGTAAGCGGAAGGGAAGAGCCCGGAGATCCGAAGCTGGGACCACACTTTGTTCTGAGCAGGAGACAGCAAAAATACAGATGCTATTTCAACTTGAGGTTTAAGAAAATGTGGATTATGCAAGAGAATCCCAGTTTCTCCACACCCTCACAAACTCTGTATTGTCAGTCATTTTAACATGTATTCATTTTATTTGGTGTGTAAAGGAATCTCACTGTGGTTATTTTCTGGGTTACACATGATGTTACCCATCTTTTAATGGAAGCATTTTCCATCTACATATCTTCTTTGGTAAGGTATCTGTTTTATTTTAATATTTTGCCCATCTTTGAAATTAGGTTATCTTCTATTACTGGGGTGCAAGAACTCTTTATATTGTTGACACAAATCTTTTGTTATGTATGTGCATTGTGAATATTTCTCTCCCAGCCTACAGCTTTTTATTTGCTTCTTGGTGATTGACAAAGGAGAAAAGGTTTGAACTTTGATGAAGGTCAAGATAACATTTTTTTGTATGGTCTATGCTTCCTTTGTCCCAACTAAGAAATATTTCCTACCAGAAGATCTATGATTCATTTCAAAATAATTTTGTGTATAGTGAGAATTGAGTGTCGAGAACATGTTTTTCATAACAGTATCAAGTTCTTTCCATACAATTTTCTGAAAAGACTAACCTTACCCCATTTGAATTCCCTGGCAGTTTTACTGAAAATCCGTTGATGATATATGTGTGGGTTTATATCTGAAATGTCTATTCCATTTCACATATTTAAATGATTAACCTTACTTAATACAACACATTTTTATTTACTATCACTGCAGTAAGTCTTGCAATCAGAAGCATAAATCTTTCAATTTTGTTTTTCTTTTTCAAAGTTATTTTATTTTCAGTTATTTGCGTACTCATATAAATTTTGGAATCATTCTGTAGACTCTATTTATTTATCTATGCATTTATATTTCCACTTATAAAACTTCCTTTTATCTTTACAACTTAGGATTTTTGTCTGAATTGGCTGCTCAAGCAAATGTGTATAAATCTCCTCTTGAAAAATCCTGTAATTATATTACCTTCAACATATGATCATACAAAGTAAGGGAAGTTTCAGTTACTCATTGTTACCTTATAATCATCGATGCTGCTCATGGCAATGTAAGGAGCATAACTGGATGACAAAAACACCAAGAACAGGGAAGACATCGTGAATGAAACTGAAATATCCAGTTCCTTTTGAAAAGGCAAAGAATATAATGAGTTGCATGAACAAATTTGAAATTTTTTTTATTGTTTTATTGCTTAAAGTATTACAAAGGGTATTGCATATGTGTCCTTTTTTTCCCCCACCCTTGACAATCCCCTGGCCTCTCCTACCCCCCAGTGTCTTATGTCCATTGGTTATGCTTATATGCATGCATATAAATCCTTCGGTTGATCTCTTACCCCCCTCCTTCCTACCCCCTAACCCTCCCTGGCCTTCCCGCTGCAGTTTGAAAATCAGTTTGAGGTAGCTCTGCCTCTGTATCTATTATTGTTCATAAGTTTATAATGGTCTTTACTATCCATGAATGAGTGAGATCATGTGGTATTTTTCCTTCATTGACTGGCTTATTTCACTTAGCATAATGCTCTCTAGTTCCATCCATGTCGTTGCAAATGGTAAGAGTTCCTTCTTTTTTACAGCAGCATAGTATTCCATCGTGTAGATGTACCACTGTTTTCTAATCCATTCATCTACTGATGGACACTTAGGCTGTTTCCAGATCTTAGCTATGGTGAATTGTGCTGCTATGAACATAGGGGTGCATATATCCTTTCTGATTGGTGTTTCTGGTTTCTTGGGATATATTCCTAGAAGTGGGATCACACGGTCAAATGGGAGTTCCATTTTTAGTTTTTTGAGGAAACTCCATACTGTCTTCCATAGTGGCTGCACCAGTCTGCATTCCCACCAGCAGTGCACGAGTGTTCCTTTTTCTCCACATCCTCTCCAGCACTTGTCATTTGTTGATTTGTTGATGATAGCCATTCTGACAGGTGTGAGATGGTACCTCATTGTTGTTTTGATTTGCATATCTCGGATGATTAGTGACTTTGAGCATGTTTTCATATGTCTCTTGGCTTTCTGAATGTCCTCTTTTGAGAGGTGTCTATTTAGATCCTTTGCCCATTTTTTGATTGGATTGTTTATCTTCTTTTTGTTAAATTGTATGAGTTCCCTATAAATTTTGGAGATTAGGCCCTTATCAGATATGACATTGGCAACTATGTTTTCCCACACAGTGGGCTTTCTTGTTCTCTTTAGTTTCAAGTGCCCTAGGAGCTGTATCAGTAAAGAAATTGCTTCGGCATATGTCTGAGATTTTGTTGCCTTTGGATTCTTCTAGAATTTTTATGGTTTCCCGTCATACATTTAAGCCCTTTATCCATTTTGAGTTTATTCTTGTGAATGGTGTAAGTTGGTGGTCTAGTTTCATTTTCTTGCATATATCTGTCCAATTTTCCCAACACCTTTATTGAAGAGACTATCTTGGCTCCATTGTATATTCTTGCCTCCTTTGTCAAATATTGATTGAGCATAAACAGACTATGTATAACCCTGCCTTACTTCCCTTTTGTTACCAAACTCTTGACTATCTATCCAGAATGGAAGCTTGATTTTTGGCTTGAAACCCACATGTATGAATAAGGAAAGTGCCAATCACAGAACTGCAGGATTTGACTATCATTTCCTCACGTTCTCTTGAAAATACAGTTTGTTAGTTCTATTTACATTAAAAAAATCAAAGCTTGAAAAATTACATTGATTTATCAAAGCCACAGGAACCTGCATGAATCTAAACACTAATTTACCCTGCAGATTTTACTCAATAAAAATAAAATCCCAGCCACCCAGGAGATGCCTGATGAGGGAGTCATAGAGTACATACTCACCAGCAAAGACGTACTTCTCCCAGTTTGAATACGTGCTGATGGTCTAACTATTCTAAGCAGCCCATTACTAACAATATCCATAAGAACTGGGAAGCAATTCAGTCTCTTGGTATTGCATGCTAATGAAAATGTGTAATTCTGAAATAGAAAACGCAAGATTATAAATTCTCAGAGATCTTCATTTTTTCCCCTAAAGAATTAAAAATTCAATACTTTAATTAAAAATCATGTTTTAAAAACAGTGTTAAATAATCTGAACAAAAACAAACATTGTGTTAAATAAGCCGAAACATGCATATAGGTGGTATCTGGCTTTCAGGACACCAGGTGTCTGACTTACAGTAGAATCAAATATTATTGTTTAAGATTAAAACAGAAGTTTCAGCACATATGTATTAGAAAATCCTTGGGAGGAAATACATACTTTTCGGACTTAAATATGTTCTTTTTTTTAAAATATATTTTATTGATTTTTTTACAGAGAGGAAGGGAGAGAGATAGAAAGCTAGAAACATAGAGAGCTAGAAACATCGATGAGAGAGAAACATCGATCAGCTGCCTCCTGCACACTCCCTAGTGGAGATGTGCCCACAACCAAGGTACATGCCCTTGACCGGAATTGAACCCGGGACCTTTCAGTCCCCAGGCTGACGCTCTATCCACTGAGCCAAACCGGTTACAGCTTAAATATGTTCTTGACAGTGGGTATTGTATGGTATTTATTTTGCTAATACACACAGTGTGTGGTAGACAGTGACTGATATATGAATTATTTATCATACAAATGACTATGATTAACTAAGTAATGAAAGAAGTACCCCTGTATTTGTTTTTCATTTTGTTTCCTAAATTGAAGGCCGGAGTATATTGATAGTTTATTAGCTTTGCACACCTGTAGGATAATTTTTTAAATGGAGACCAGCATACCTTGTCGTGACCAGACACTATAATGGCTCCATTATAAGATGGATCGTCTATACCATTTCTATTTCCAGATGCATCCACTTCCAAAGCTATGTTCTGAAGCTCCACGGAATGTATGAAGTCATCAATGCTTGCCCCTAAATTGTAGTTTAATGTATTAGGTATCTCAAAACAAAGAAAATCAACGTCAACTAGTGCAGTGAAATGAAAATTAATGACCTTATGCAATATTTACTGTAATATGGACTGTTAGGATATCTTTCCACATAATAACATGCATGCTACTGTGAATTTATAAATCTACTCACTTTGATGGATTTTACTTTATAACATATTTATTCACTATGATCACTGTTATATGGTGCATATGTAATAGATTTTTCTCCAAGAAGATTTCATTGAGTAGCTATACCAATATGGCTTTAATGACATAGATAATCTCTACTAATTAATCACCAAATTGGCTAAGTCTCACTTCACTCTCACTAGATTGTTAATTGATTTTCAAAATGGTTCTTGATACAGGAAGACAACTTGTTGAATGGCTATATAAAGAGCTCCATAAACCTTCTCCCCAGAAAAACAACCATAACTTGTAAAAATTACTAAAAATCCCCAAGATGACATTTTTTTATTATCTTAAAGACATACAGAAAATGAAAAAAGAAATTTATTTAAGAAAAATCTACTAAATCTGTATAAGAACACTAAGAAACTGTGACAAAGACCTATACCTTCACAACTCTTTCGGTCAAGGGCATGTACCTGGGTTGCGGGCACATCCCCAGTGGGAGATGTGCAGGAGGCAGCTGGTCGATGTTTCTCTCTCATCGATGTTTCTAACTCTCTATCTCTCTCCCTTCCTCTCTGTAAAAAATCAATAAAATATATTAAAAAAAAGAAAGAAAAATCTACTAAATCTGTGTAAGAACACTAAGAAACTGTGACAAAGACCTATACCTTCACAACTCTTTCTTGATCAGCATAACAAAAGCTCCCCTCTGAATGGGTTAGAGAAGGGTTTAGGGGATTCTACCTCCTCAAACCCAGTCTATAGTGTCTTCCAGGGAGGAACTGTGATGAGGATGATTGAAAACCATTTCTCCATAAATTAGAGCGTCTCCCTTATGGGTAAGAAGAGAACTCCAGATCTCTCAGCCCCCCATTTCTGGTGGTTTCAAGATCCTGCTACATGAAGTTGGAGGGAATGGGAAAGTTTGGTGGCCTGACCCTCCCAGGAAGATAACTGGAAATCTATTGAAGTTGCATCCCTTCCTCACACCACACACAAAAATGAACTCAAAATCCATCACAGACTCAAAATGTAAGAACTAAAAGTATAAGAGCCTTAGAAGAAAATACAGGAGTAAATGTTTGCATTAGGCAAAGTCTACTTAAATATATCATCAAAATCACAGGAAAGGGGAAAAATAAGTTGGACTTCAGAAAAACTAAAACATTATGCCTCAAAGGATACCAATAACAAAGTGAAAAGATAATCTACAGGATGAAATAAGATATTTGCAAGACATTTACAGTTGATTCTTATTATTCACAGTAGTTATGTACTTACTTCTATAAAGTCACTAGAAAGTTATCATAAACACTAAATTAGTGAATACTGGGTCAGTGCTTATAGGGAAAACACAGGTTTAGGTCTCTGTAAGCCTCTGGTCTATAACCAACCAGTGCATTATTTTATTTTATGTATGTTTCTGTATATTCATTGTTGATTCATTAACCTTGATCTCCCAGACAACACAAAACTAACCTAACACACATATTTTCTTTGTAAGGTACATCACAGCCTTCTTTACTTAGGAATATAAAATAGCACTTCAGCACTACAATTGGGGGTATATTATTTACTTTTTAATAATTTGTTTTTTTTATGTATAGAAATTAGAATCCTCACAAAATGCTAATGCAAATGTAAATTAATGCAGTCACTTTAAAAAATAGTTTGACAGTTCCTTAAAAGATAAAATATAATCACTATATAACACAACAATTCTACTCCAGGTTTATATCCGAAAGAAATGAGTAAAATCACATTCACTTAAAAGCTAGTACATGGATGTTTATAGCGGCATTATTCAAAATTGCAAATTATTGAAAAAACCAATTAAAATACACCCCTCTGATGAATAATAAAATGTGGTATATCCATTCAATAGAACATTATTCAACAATTTAAAAAATGAAGTATTGACTCATGTTACAACATAGATGAACTTTGAAAACATTCTAAGTGAAAAAAGTCAGTCACAAAAGATCATACATATAGTGTATGGACCTACTCCTATTAAATGTCTAGAGTAGCAAATCCATAGAAATAGAAAATAAATTTGTGATTGATCAGAGCTGGGGGCATAGTGAATAAAAATAATTACTAATGATATGAGATTACTTTTTGAGATGACAATATTCTAAAATGAATTGTATTGAAGATTATATGATTCTGTGAATACACTAACAGCCATTAAACTGTACATTTTAAATGAATAAATATGGTATTTGAATTATATCTTAAGCAATTAAAATGTGTTTTGGAGTATAAACATTTTTATTTTGCAAAATGTCATCAGATCATTTATTTTTCCTTGACAAATACTTTCTTAATTCCTGCTCTATTTTGGGATTGTATATTCATCATCTCCAACCTTCATAAATTGTTTAGAACACCTGCTGAAGAAGCAAAAAGCTCATTTTTTTCTCTCATGTTTATGTTGTCTAAATGATGCTCTGAACAGTGAATGTATTGGAGAAGAATTATTCACCACATTATTACCTGTATTATTGATGATTAATAATTGAGTGAGAGGATCATGCGGTGGTTGTCCAGGAGCAAGGAAGTATAAATGGGGAGAAAGTTCCCATGTGTAAATGACATCATACGTACTGAAGATGATGTAGTCCCACAGAACAGAAAAAACTCCAATTCCTAGAATCAATAGCCTACACAGAAGAAAATTGCCAGTGTGAATGCATAGTCATGTCCTAACCTTTTAAAATGACCTAGGCAGATTCTAATTGAATGAGATCAATAAACTATGAAAACTAAACATATAGCCCTCTGACTCAGTTACTGAGTACCCTGTCCTTTTCCTACCTCTAAGTTAGAGATGATAAATTGTACATTTATCCTTTTGTTCATTTCTCTGGTTCCTCTCTGGCCATGAGCCACCCTGTACACTATCATGGGACATGTGTCCTTTAACTCTGTGTTTAGATTCTGCCTCTTCCTAGAATTCCAGTGTGGTGTTCATTCACCAACAATTTATACTGAATTTTCTTCATGGCCAATCCTCTTCACTTAGTCCTGTGATGACTGCATGGTTTCTTGAATCTCCAGGCTCAAATTTTCAATTATTTTTTAATCTTTATTTTCCTGTGCTCTCCATTTTAAATAAGTTGAAAATTTTTTATTATCTTTTCATGATATCTTATTTTGTAAACTTTCTTCATTTTTAATTTCTAATTTTATGAAATATCCTGTGGCAATTCTTGCTAAAGGAATGGCATCTCTTGAGGCACCGTTATATGGTGTTGCCAGATTTAGCTTAAAGATTTTGTTAAATCATGCTCATCTCCTAGTCAAATATTCTCAATGAATTCTCATTACTTATTTATTTAGCAAGTACTTATTGAGATTCTATTATGTGCCAACCCAACTATTTCCTTGATGCTTAATCAACATATTCATAGACAAGGCACATAATTTGATCGATAGCCAAAATCCCATGGACACCAGGGTGCTACTGAGAGGTGACATGATTCTTAGGAGCAGCGATGGTGCCCATTATGCACACAGTATGTATGGAGAGTGAGCTACCATCACCTAAGAGGGCTGGAGGGAAGTTAGGACATCTAGGTTAGAGCAAGTAGGACATAATGGGAGAGTCAGGACTGCTAGGGCTATGTCAGTAGCATGACTAGATAACAACTAAAATGAGACATTGGCATATGGACACGGGAAATAAGGTCTACATCCAAATGTTTCTGTCATCTGCCATAGAAAATCTAAAGGAGAGCCAATAGTCTAGCAGGTTTGACTCAGTTAATGGAGAGTCAGTCCACAGACTAAAGGGCCCCGGGTTCCATTCTGGTCAATTGCATATACCTCGGTTATAAGCTTGATTCCTGGTTGGGGAGAGTGCCGGAGGCAACCAATTGATGTGTCTCTCTCACACTGATGTTTCTCTCTCTCTCTGTCTCTCCTACTCCCTTTCATTCTCTCTAAAATCAATAGAAACATATACTCAGGTGAGGATTGACAAAAACACACACCAAAAAAGACCCCAAAATAAATAAGGGATAGCAAATATTACACAAAAACTTACATTAATTGAACTCTTCCCCTAAAATTGGCTCTAAGATCGTATAAATTCCACTTGCTAGTCAGCTAGTAGATAAAAATTAGGCCTATGAACTAGATTGAGGATTATACTTTATCCAGTTTTGCAGATGCAGACATTTATTTTTGTTTGTTTTTTCTTGTTTTTAGGCCTTAGTATTTTTTAATGCATTGACTGACCAAAAGCTATGGCACTCTAATACTCACAGTGATAAAAGAGATTTTCTATCCTGCTTTAGCTTTAATAAGCGGACCCTTGCAATTGCACAGATTTGCTGTCTCCACAGAGCCATGCCACCTAGTCTTTCCTTCATCTCACTTAGTGAAGAGAGAACTTGTTCCATCTCACAAAGTCTTTCTGTGTCTTCAGCTCCTTCTGCGTGTACTTCCCCAGATGTGGCAATACCTGCCAAACACAAAATAAGTAATGCATAAAAAGTCCACTTCAGAGGGGGAGAAAAAATGGCGGAGGTATAGATGGATGTGTCCAGTGCCTTGTCCAGGAGCTGTTAGGGTGAGCAACTGAAGTGGGTAACATACAGCCCAAATAAGCAGAGGATATTCAGCTGAGAGACAGTTTGCAGCCGGGAGAGTTGGAGGAATCCTGGAGAAAGCAGGCGGTGGTTAGACTGCGGCTTAAATCTCTCCCAGAGTGCCAGCTCAGCCGCGGAGACCCCGCCATCTTGAGTGGCTGTTTTTTGGAAATGTATACTGTACACCCAAAGACCTGGCATCCAGAGATCAGCTGCTAACCTGGAAACACCAGATCTGGGACAGCATGACTATGTGGAGTCCTGTTTCTCATGGAAAGCAGATCCAAGCAACAGCAGCCTCCTGATCACCACACCCTCTGTCTAAGGAACAGCAGCTGTGTGTGAAGCCTCCACCCACCAGCCAGAAGAGCCACCACAGCTGTAAACAGCACCCACCAGAGGATCTGCTGCCAACTGAGGAGCAGCTGCTACCACAACCGCCCAAGGAGCAACCACAGCCCGAGGAGCCACTGCCACCCAACGAGCAGCCACTGAATGACTCAACATCTAGATATGTCAGTGAGATCAAACATGGGTAGGCAAAGAAACCCCCAAAGAAAAGAAAAGGAGGTCTCGCCAGAAAAGCAGCTAAGTGATACAGAGGCATGCAACATGACAGAAAAAGAATTCAGATTAAGGGTCCTAGAGTGCATAAACCGGATGGAGGAAAAAATCAACAACTTATGCAAGAAGGAAGAAGAAACAGATGAAAAATAAATAACTTATGTAAGAATCAAAAAGAAATGGATGAAAAAAATCAATAACTTAGGTAAGAACAAAGAAGAAATGAAGAGTGACATAGCTGCAATAAAAAACACCATTGAAAGTATCAACAGTAGACTAAGAGAAGCGGAGGACCAAATTAGTGAATTAGAAGACAAGGAAGCAAAACACACCCAAACTGAACTGCAATTGGAGAAAAAAACTAAAAGACAGGAGGAGAGCCTAAGGGAGTTTTGGGACAACATGAAACGAAACAACATACGAATAATAGGGGTGCCAGAACAACAGAAAGAGGAACAAGGGTTAGAAAACCTATTCAAAGAAATAATATCAGAAAACTTCCCTGAGGTGGGGAAGAAAAGAGCCTCACAAGCACAGAGAGTCCCAAACAAGGTGAACCCGAAAAGACCCACACCAAGACACATCATAATTACCATGGCAAATGTTCAGGACAAAGAGAGAATCTTACAGGCTGCAAGAGAGAGACGGAAAGTTACATACAAGGGATCTCCCATTAGATTATCAAATGATTTCTCATCAGAAACACATCAGGCCAGAAAAGAATGGACGGAAATTTACAAAGTGATCCAAAGCAAAGGACTGAATCCAAGAATACTCTATCCAGCAAGGCTATCATTCAAAATTGAAGGGGAAATAAGAAGCTTCACAGACAAAAAAAGGCTAAGGGAGTTTATCACCACCAAGCCAGCAATGCAAGAAATGCTAAAAGGACTGGTGTAAAAAGAAGAAATAAAAAGCTCAGAAAGAAAACAGCCACACACAAAAAGAAATGGCTACAAACAAGTACCTTTCAATAATAACTTAAAAACGTAAACGGACTAAATGCTCCAATCGAAAGACATCCAGTGGCTGAATGGATAAAAAAACATGACCCATACATTTGCTCTCTATAAGAGACCCACCTCAGAAGAAGGGACTCACACAGACTAAAAGTGAAGGGATAGAAAAATATCTTTCAGGCAAATGGAAATGAAAAGAAAGCTGGGGTAGCAATACTTACATCTGACAATATAGACCTCAAAGTGAAGGCCATAACAAGAGATAAGGAAGGCCACTTCATAATACTAAAGGGATCAATACAACAAGAAGATATAACCCTGATAAACATTTATGCACCCAAAGCAGGAGCACCCAAATATATAAAAAAACTCCTGGAAGATATCAAAGGAGAGATCGACAATAATACAATCATAGTAGGGGACTTTAATACACCACTGACATCACTGGATAAATCCTCTAGACAAACAATCAGCAAAGAAACAGCAATCCTAAATGACTCACTAGATCAGATGGACTTGATTGACATCTTCAGAACACTTCACCCCAAAGCCATGGAATATACATTCTACTCAAGTGCTCATGGGTCATATTCAAAAATAGACAACATATTGGGTCACAAACAAAGTCTCCCCAATTTCAAGAAGATTGAAATCATACCAGCCATCTTCTCAGACCACAATAGCATAATATTAGAAATAAACTACAATAAAAACAACCCAAAATACTCAAACACTTGGAAGCTGAATAGCATGTTATTAAATATTGATTGGGTTACCAATGAGATCAAAGAAGAAATTAAAAACATCCTGGAAACTAATGACAGTGAAAACACTACAATCCAAAACCTATGGGACACAATGAAAGCAGTCCTGAGAGGGAAGTTTATAGCTCTACAGGCCTATCTCAAAAAACAAGAAAAAATGGTAGTAAATCATCTAACTCTACATCTTAAAGAATTAGAAAGAGAGCAACAAGAAAATCCCAGAGTGAGCAGGACGAAGGAGATAATAAAGATTAGAGAAGAAATAAATGACATAGAGACCAAAAAAAACAATACAGAAAATCAATGAAACCAAGAGCTGGTTCTTTGAAAGGGTAAACAAGACTGATGAACCTCTAGCCAGGCTCACCAAGAAGTAAAGAGAGAGGACCCAAATAAACAAAATCAGAAATGATAGAGATGAAATAACAACAGACCCCACAGAAATACAAATGATTGTTAAAAAATACTATGGACAACTCTACTCCAACAAACTAGACAACCTGGAGGAAATGGACAAAATCCTAGAAAAATACATTTCAAAACTCAATCAGGAAGAATCTAAAAACCTCAATAGGCCAAAAGCTATGGAAGAAATTGAAGCAGTCATCAAAAAGCTTCCAGCAAACAAAAGCCCAGGACCAGACGGCTTCACAGGGGAGTTTTACCAAACCTTCAAGGAAGAACTAAAATCTATCCTCCTCAGACTACTACAAAAAATTCAAGAGGAAGGAACACTTCCAAGCTCATTTTATGAAGCCAGCATCACCCTGATACCAAAACCAGGTAAAGACAACACAATGAAAGAGAATTACAGGCCAATATCTCTCATGAACATAGATGCCAAAATCCTCAACAAAATCTTAGCAAATCAGATCCAGCAGTACATCAGAAAGATCATACACCATGACCAAGTAGGATTTATCCCAGGGATACAAGGATGGTACAATATCCCCAAATGAATAAACGTGATACATCACATAAACAAATTGAAAGAAAAAAACCACATAGTCATATCAATTGATGCAGAAAAAGCATTTGACAAAATCCAACACCCATTTTTGATAAAAACTCTCAGCAAGGTGGGAATAGAAGGATCATACCTCAACATCATAAAAGCCATATATGACAAACCCACAGCCAACATCATACTCAATGGACAAAAGCTAACACCATTCCCCTAAGAACAGGAACAAGACAGGGATGCCCACTCTCACCACTCCTGTTCAACATAGTCCTGGAAGTGTTAGCCATTGGAATTAGACAAGAAGAAGAAATAAAAGGCATCCAAATTGGAAAAGAAGAAGTAAAACTGTCCTTATTTGCAGACGACATGATATTATACATACAAAACCCTAAAGACTCCATCAAAAAACTACTAGACTTAATACATGAATTTGGCAATGTTGTAGGATACAAAATTAACCCCAAGAAATCTAAGGCATTTCTATACACCAATAGTGAACTTACAGAAAGAGAGACTAAGAAAACAATCCCATTTACCATCGCACCAAAAAAATTAAGATACCTAAGAATCAACTTAACTAAGGAGGTAAAAGACCTCTACTCAGAAAACTACAGGACGTTGAAAAAAGAGATAGAGGAAGACATAAACTGATGGAAGAACATACCATGTTCATGGATTAGTGGAATCAACATCATTAAAATGTCTATACTACCCAAAGCAATCTATATATTCAACACACTTCCCATTAAAATACCAATGGCATATTTCACAGATCTAGAACGAACTCTCCAAAAATTCATCTGGAATAAAAAAAGACCCCGATTAGCTGCAGTGATCCTGAGAATGAACAAAGTAGGTGGGATCTCAATACCAGATAGCAAGCTGTATTACAAAGCCACTGTTCCAAAACTGCCTGGTACTGGCACAAGAACAGACATATAGATCAATGGAATAGAATAGAGAGCTCACAAATCGGCCCGAACCAATATGCTCAATTAATATTTGACAAAGGAGGCAAGAACATACAATGGAGTCAAGATAGTCTCTTCAATAAATGGTGCTGGGAAAATTGGACACATACATGCAAAAAAAATGAACCTATACCACCAACTTACACCATACACAGAAATAAACTCAAAATGGATAAAGGACTTAAATGTATGACTAGAAACCATAAAAACACAAGAAGAATCCAAAGGCAACAAAATCTCAGACATATGCCAAAGCAATTTCTTCACCGATACAGCTCCTAGGGCATTGGAAACTAAAGAGAAAATAAACAATTGGGACTAAATAAAAATAAAAAGCTTCTGCACAGCAAAAAACCATCAACAAAACAAGAAAGCCCACTGCATGGGAGAACATATTTGCCAATGCCATATCTGAGAAGGGCCTAATCTCCAACATTTATAGGGAACTCATATAACTTAACAAAAGGAAGATAAACAATCCAATCAAAAAATGGGCAAAGGATCTAAATAGACACCTTTTAAAAGAGGATATTCAGAAAGCCAAGAGACATATGAAAACATGCTCAAAGTCACTAATCATCCAAGAGATGCAAATCAAAACAACAATGAGGTACCATCTCACACCTGTCAGAATGGCTATCATCAACAAATCAACAAGCGACAAGTGCTGGAGAGGATGTGGAGAAAAAGGAACACTCGTGCACTGCTGGTGGGAATGCAGACTGGTGCAGCCACTATGGATGACAGTATGGAGTTTCCTCAAAAAACTAAAAAAGGAACACCCATTTGACCCCGTGATCCCACTTCTAGGAATATGTCTCAAGAAACCAGAAACACCAATCAGAAAGGATATATGCACCCCTATGTTCATAGCAGCACAATTCACCATAGCTAAGATCTGGAAACAGCCTAAGTGCCCATCAGTAGTTGAATGGATTAGAAAACAGTTGTACATCTACATGATGGAATACTATGCTGCTGTAAAAAAGAAGGAATTCTTAACATTTGCAACGACATGGATGGAACTGGAGAGCATTATGCTAAGTGAAATAAGCCAGTTAATGAAGGAAAAATACCACATGATCTCACTCATTTATGGATAATAAAGACCATTATAAAGTTATGAACAAAAATAGATACAAAGGCAGAGCAGCCTCAAACAGACTGTCAAACTATAGCAGGAAGGCTGGGGAGGGTAGGGGGGCAGAAGGGGGAGTAAGAGATCAACTGAAGGACTTGTATGCATGCATATAAGCATAACCAATGGACATAAGACACTGGGGGGTAGGGGAGGCCAAGGGATTGTCAAGGGCGGGGGAAAAAATGAGACATTTGTAATACCCTTTGTAATACTTTAAGCAATAGAACAATTTAAAAAAAGCCCACTTCAGATGGACTTTACTGAGCTTACTATAGGCATTTGTTATATTAAGGACATCACAGATAACATCCCCTCATACTGTAGGCACTTGAACAAAAGGACCAGAAAGAAAATCTTAGATGGACACAGACAATATATTAAAGAGGCTAAGATAAGTATGTAAGATCATCATAGTACCTAGGTGTGACTTGGAAACTTGGGAAAGGAAACAATTATCTTAGGTGCTCACCTAGAGAAACAAGTTACAAATTGACATGCTACAAACTAGGGAGTTAACTGTAAATTAAACCTAACTATAGCAACAACCACATTAAAAATAATGGACTAAACATGCCGCTATAAGAAATGTCTCAATAAGCAAAATTCAACTATATGCTGTTTATAAGAAATGCATTTTAAATGGAAAGCATAAACAGGTTAAAAAAAGTTTAAAGTCATAAATTACATTAAAATTAAAGCAATCTATAATAATAAAAGCATAATATGCAAATCGACTAAAAGGCTGAACAGCTGATTGACCGTCCGGATGACCTTCTGGATGACCTTCCGGATGAAGCCAGGGCTGGAGGGCCTACACTTGCATGGATTTCATGCTTCGGGCCTCCAGTTGTATTAATATTAGACAAATTAGGCTTCAGTATAGAGAGAAAAGGGAAGGAAGTATAGTTGAAGAAATAGTGGCTAAAATCTTCCCAAATGTGATGAAAAACTCTAATCTTCATATATAGGAAGCTCAACAAATACCACATATGATAAACAGAAGGAGGTCCACACCTGAAGACATCATAGTTGAATTCTCAAAGCCAAAGACAGAAAGCATCAGGAGAAAAACAACTCATCATACATAGAAATCCTCAATTCAGAAACTATGGAGACCAACAGTCAGCGTGATGTCACATTCAAAGTGCTTGGAGAGAGATTTAGAATAAGTGTTTTGTCTGAAATTGCTCTTGGAAAATGGGATACGATGAGGGCTATGAGCCTTGGGTAGAAGAAAATGGACCGTTTTTAATATCAAGGCAATATTGGCCATGGAGGTAACAAAAGTGACAGCGATGCACTTCACCTTAATATTTTCTTGTCCAAAAATGGCCTTAATCATGGAACCCCACATGTAATCATGTTATTGAATCATGTTATTGGAATGGTGTCTGCCTTTTTTTTTAAAGTTTTTTATTTATTGAGTTTTAGAGAGAAGAGGAAGGAGAGAGAGAGAGAGAGAGTGAGAGAGAGAGAGAGGTGTTGTTCCACTTATTTATGCATTCATTGGTTGATTTTTGTATGTACCCTGACTAGGGATCCATCCTGCAATCTTGGTGTATCGAGATGATGATCTAAGCAACTGAGATACTCAGCCAGGGCCTGGAATGGTGTCTTCTTGAACAATATACTAAACCAGGTGTTATGAATACCCTTACATGATCATTTTCATGCATTTTATTTACCTGGTTCATCAACAGTTGATTTTCCTTCTAGTTTCAGGAACACCTCATTCAAGGTTGGCATGGAAACACCATAATTCTCAATTCCCAGGTCAGGACAGAGATCAAGGTTCTCATAAAGTTCTAAAAACACATACACAATAGCAAATCAAAACAAGCATAGTGTATCAATTAGAATATAATATTTCCCACTGTAGATAAGAGTCTTGTGGGGAGCAGCTATAGGGTTAAGCCTCGGACTGACCTGTTGGCAAAGTCACAAACAAGTCCCAGCTTAGAGGGCACAGTCCTCTTACCATAATTAGGCTTGACCTTATGACGCTCCCTAGATCTTATCTGGGAAGCTAATGGGCTGAGGGAAGTGCAGCAAGAACAAGAACAAAAACAAGTGAAACTCACAAGAACAGTGTAACTTTGGTAACCACTACCTTGTTTACCTCTGACTATAAAATAAAGGCTCAGCTTGCCTCTGCATCTCTCTCTGTGGCCTCAGCCAGGCACGGGGAAGATCCATGGAGTATCTGTCTCCATGTAAATCATTCTTCCAGACTCCGTCCACACCTTTGGGAACACCTGGACCGCTGGGGCTGGACCCTGGCAGAGTCTAGTTATTCTTATCTCGTGTTTTAGATACCTGAACACATTGTACTACTATGCTCTTAATAAACGTTAGTTACAGTAATTATCATAGATATTATTTTTATGAATAACATTTATGTATTTCATTTCTTGATATTCTTGTACATTACCTGGAAATTTATTTGTTCTTTCCAAGGGCAATGCATAGACAAGTTTTCCTTCACATTTCGCTGATAATTTGGCATCAGGGATGTGCTTTGTAACAATGGATGTTATTTTTTCTTGAACACACATTTCATTCAACTGCAAACTGGTGATAAAAAATAGATCTGTGTTATCTAACATTGTCTCCAATTGCATGAAGAAAATTACTTGTCTCTAGGAGACAAAGAAAAATCACATAAAATCTAATGCAAGAAACAGGTCACCCAGCCCATCAGTAGATGAATGGATTAGAAAACTGTGGTACATCTACACGATGGAATACTATGCTGCTGTTAAAAAGAAGGAACTCTTACCATTTGCAACAGCATGGATGGAACTGGAGAGCATTATGCTAAGTGAAACAAGCCAGTCAATGAAGGAAAAATACCACATGATCTCACTCTTTCGTGGATAATTAAGACCATTACAAACTTTCGAACAATAATAAATACAGTGGCAGAGCTGCCTCAAACTGATTGTCGAACTGCAGTGGGAAGGCCAGGGAGGGTTGGGGGACAGGAGGGAGGGGAGTAAGAGATCAACCGAAGGACTTGTATGCATCCATGTAACCATAACTAATGGACATAAGACACTGGGGGGTAAGGGAGGGCAGGGGCTTGTCAAGGGTGGTGGGGGGGGAAGGACACTTATGTAATACCCTTTGTAATACTTTTAGCGAAAAAAAAAAAATAAAGAGTACTCTAAAAGAAAAAAAAAAAAAGAAACAGGTCACCCAAACATGAAATAAGAGGTCGAAAAATCAGATTATATATAGTGCCTACTTCCTAAAGTAAAAGATTTAATTACAATAATGTTAAGCATCTTATCTCTGAATCAATCAATAATAACAGAATATGTTACTATCTAAAAATAGTAATAAAATAAAATGAAGAGAATAACAGGAGAGAAAGAACAAGAGAGAAGAGGAAGAGCTAGGGGAAAGAGAAGAAACAAGGAGTCTGCTTAAGAGACTGTTAAAACCCTGGGTGAGAGATGATGAGGTTGTGAAATACAATGTCAGTTGAGAAAGTTCCCTTAATACATACCTTTCTTACCAAATAATGTGTTGTGGATATATTTTCTATCACATTTATCTAAACTTTTTTGTTATCTTATATTCTCAATTTCTAAAATCTGCCAATCAATAATTCATATACACATACTATATACTCTATATATCTATATCTATTTCTCTATTCTAATCTCTAATCTCTATATCTGTCTATACATCTCATTTTTATTTGTGTATATGTGTATATATGTATACATCAACATCTGTATATAATAATCAAAAGTCTCCTTGTGTGCTGTGATGCGTTGCTCTGAGCATCATGTCTTGCTTCAGCCCATTTCTCATTCTCCAGCCTCTTCAAGTGGCCATACCTTAAGTGATACCCAATCCCCCATTTCTTCTTTAGAAACAGACTTGAGCCTGCACACTTCAGCTTCCCTTTGGAGAGAAACACTTTCCTGTCTGAAAGGGAAGAAGCAAAGAAGAAAATTTGTCAAGAAGTTGACCGTTCTTTCCCCAAAAAAGATAGGTCATTGTCTGCGTGATCCAACTCTAATTCAGGAGCTTCTGTATTTTCACATACAGGGCTTCATAAAAACTCAATAAAATAGACACATTTTTTCTTATTTATATACTTTAGACTGTTGTTTTCCCTTCCAGCCAGTCATAGAGGTTTTGCAGATAAATCTTTGAATATAGAGAATCATCACATTATACATTTTAATGGACCAAACATCAAAATTGTTTGAATATTTTAAGTTGATTTCCTTCAATTTTGAGTAAAAGGACCGATGCCTTTGAATATAGACTCTTCCTTCAAAATAAGTGAGTTTCCTGGCAGATCATACCTCCATGAAATCAAAGGATACAAAATCCTAGGACATACATAGAAGTGGTTGGGAGTAAGATTCTTGGGCCAGTTCATATCATTGCCAGCTGTTCCAATGGCTGGTTACAGCTGGGAGACCAGGTTACACAATACAGCTGCTGAGCATATAATCCATATTTCTCAAATCTCATGAAGTTTTCATCATGATACTTAAAGGAAACCAGTATCCAGTACTTACCAGCCAGGATATCAGCCTCATCCATGAACTGGGTACTGAACACGATCACATGATCCATTTTCCGCTCCTTCAGCAAGTTCCACACTTGATGCCTTGAAAAGGGATCCAACCCAGCAGTTGGTTCATCCAATAGGAAAATCTACAGTGGAGGGGTGTATATAAAAGGATCTTTCCAATAAAGTATATAGCTCTTCCAGAAAACACGTTGAAACCATGTTATTTATATTTCAAAGATCATTGTGGTTAGGACTTTGTTCTTATATATAATGTCCCATCATAAATATTTTATCACAGATGTCCTTTTCAAATAAAAGGTTGGAACTACTATGGAAAGTTTTAATTTAAAAAATTTAATCCATCTCTAAATTTCATCTTATTTACCTGAGGATCTCCTAAAATGGCAATCCCAAAAGTGAGTTTTCTTTTCTGTCCACCACTTAAGTTTTGAGCAAGGACGTCTTCAATACTGTCCATTTGCAACTCCAGCACAACTCTTTGTATCTAACCAAATGACAACATTTGTGTCATGATACAAGATTCCTTTCTGTTTTTATTTTTACATTGATAAATACAAAGCAGGAAAGTGTAATGGTTAAAAGCACGCATTCTGAGCCAGAATTGACTAGATTTGAATACCACTCCACATTAATTAGCTGCATAGTCCTGGTCAAGTTACTTGCTCTCTTAAACCTCAGTTTCCACATATGTAAAATGGGAGTAATAATAGCATCTATCTTATAGAGTTGTTATGGGAAATAAATGACTTAGTATATTTAAAGCTAAGGATAATGGTTGGCATATAAATTATACATAAATGTTAGATAACCATTTAACTCAGATAAATACCTAAATTAGATTTTCTGTCCAACTTTCATACAATGACTTTGTTCAAAGATAATTTAATGAAAGCATAAAAACTCAGTGCCAATAGACTTAAAGATCTCATTTTGGCCAATATGTTAGTTCTGATATTTTTATGTACCTCTTGTTCCATTTCCTGTGGTGGAATCCCTTTTATCTTAGCAAAGAGTCTGAGATTTTCTCTTACAGTGAGGTAGTCAAATTGCACATTGTACTGTGGGCAAATTCCAGTGAGCTTGCTGATATTTTCTAGGTCAGCCATTTCTGAAAGTTTATTACTATACATGGTGACGGAACCTATAACAAAGATTAAAAGTTAACATCAGATTATACTTAAGATATTTTTCTAAATGAAAAGCCACTATAGAGTTATTTATTACATTTTAGATAATACGGTTTTATCTTCAAGGTTTATACAACTCAGGTATTGTGAACTTCCATTTTAGTTGTGTGGTGTATGGGGTGGGAGAAAGGTCCCTTCTGCAGTTTTTTCCATTAAGATGTAGTCTACTTATTCTCCCCTCATAGTTAGGTGTGGTGCTATGATAAAGGGAATTTTAGCAGATGTGATATAAGCAGGGATTGCGAAGTGCCTCCACCCTGGGGTTGCCCTCTCTTTGCTTCTGGAATCATGGGCATCACTGGATGAAGAATTCCTAACTAGCTTCCTGGGGGATGTAGAAAGAGAGGTGCTGTGGTTCTAAATAGAGCCTCACATGTGTGAGTAAGGCTATGCTAAAGCGTCTGGCCCCAGGTATTTTAATCCAGACAGAAAAACCACCAGCCAACCCACCGAGTAATGAGAAATAAGCAAACATTTTTATTTTAAGCTATTGGCTTTGGGAATGCTTGTTGCGCAGCAAAAGCTAACAGATACAAGTTGGAATGTCAAAGGACCAGAAAATAAATAATGAAATAATCAAATTCCATTAAATATTGCATACCTCTATAGAATACTATTAATTAACTTCCGTTTATTTCTGGTAATCTGTTTTTGTGATTAATGATCACAAGAACTTTTTATTAACAGCTGATTTATTTGTCAGCCTGACTTTGGGGGAGAAGAACCCTCTTACCTTTGGTGGGAACAGATAACCCACTAAGAATGTTTAATAGTGTTGATTTTCCAGCTCCACTGTGACCAAGTATTGCAGTGATTTGGCCTTCATATATGTCAAATGCCATGTCTAGGAAGAAAAAAGAAAAGGAAAAAAGGCTGGGAGAAAGGAAGGAAGGAAAACAGGTAGGGAGGTAGGAAAAAAACTACAAATTTATTGTGGAGCTAAAATTTGTCTTTTTATTTCCTTGAATGGCCATGTTTTCTATATATGAATATATTAGGTTGTTAAACTCAAAATAAAAAATATGCTTTTATAAATTTATATGTGCATCCTCTTTTAAAAATTTGAAATCACTTGTTTTAAAACCAAGAAACTTCTTACTAGTATACTCTTAAGTTCATTGATATTGCTTGGTATATGGCAGGTGAATGTTAATATTTATTGACTAAATAATATAAATGATACTTTAATAGTTCAGTAAATTTTTATGTGGATAAAAATCCTTTGGTGTATATGACATTTTTGTACAAAATAAAATTAGCAATATCTACAATAGCTTTAAAATTACAGAAGAAAAATTTGGGTTTGTAGAGAACAACCCAGAATAGCCTTAGACTACCTCAGTATAACACAGCATATCTTTCAAAGTCATATATAATTTGAAAACACAATCAATTTTTTCTTTTACATAGTAGAAATAATTGTTAGAAAGGAAATTTTATCATATGACTAAATAACTAATTTCAAATCTGAAATACCACCAGTAATTGTTCACCAAGTGTAAGAAACAAGAATGAAAATCAGAAAATTATTATCAATATAATAATTAAATGTTACCTTTCAAAGCTTTTACTTTATCAGGCTTTCCTTTATATTCTTTTGTAACGTTTCTTATTCTAAAAAAAAAAGAAGAAAAAGAGGTTTCAAGTTCTGACGATTTTCTTCAGTTGGTAATTCTATGTTTGGCTGACATGATTTATGAATCTGCCCCCTTCAGGCATAGAAGAACTGGGAATTTATAGTACCCTTTGGAAATCGTGCTTGTTTGTGCGAATCAGGTAGAGTATTTTTCCCTAGCCTTGGCAGTACATAGCTTCTCCTGTGAAAAAAAATTTTTAATATGTTTTATTGATTTCAGAGAAGAAGAGAGAGGGAGTGAGAGATAGAAACATCAACGATGAGAGAGAATGACTGATTATCTGCTATTGCACCCCACACTCTGGAGACTGAGTACACAACTCAGGCATGTACCCTGACCAGGAATAGAACAATGACCTCCTGGTTCATAGATCAACATTCAACCACAGAGCCACGCAGGCTGGGACACCTGCAAAGTTTTAAAGTTTCCCTATGCTTGGAACACATCACCAGATAATATTATTCCAACGACTGAGATGGAACCTTACATTACTATTGAAAACCAGGATCATCTCTAAACTGAAAAGCTAAAGAAACTAGACCAAGAGGTAACACAGGCATCCATTCCTGAAGGGCTCATTGTGAACTACTGACTCAGGCTGGAGATACCTTTGGTTAATTTGAGTCAAGGTCAGGGTGGAGTAAGGGAGAGAGGCAAAGATCATAACAGTGAGAGCAGTGGGTTTTACAGTCCTACCCACCTGAGCTCACCCCAGCTAGAACATTTAGTAGCTGTTACCTTAGCCAATGTAATATTCTGAGTAAATTTGGATTTTGTAACCTAATAATTTGGAGTGCTTTAGGGCTGTGTTGAAGGATGAGTAAAGTATTTCATCTTGCGTGCATAGTGCTTGGTTCTTGGTAAGTATTCAGTAAACATCAGATGATATTGGTTTATGATGATGATTATGGTAATAGAAAGGAATGGAATTAGCATGTTGGGTGCTATTATAGATCTGGATTCCTAGGCATTTTACCTATTTTATTTTATCAGAAACATATCCATAAACTGCATCAAATTTATGTTTCTTATTTTGTCATGTATTCATCAACCCGGGTTCCATTCATATAGAACTGTTTAGATTTTCTCATTTCTGTTTTAATCCCATTTTACCATCATTCTACATAGTCCTTATAGTTGAGTGAGCTGCTAAAGAGAGAAAAATTAAAATAAACATATGAACACATCAACTATAGTCATTGCTTTGCTCCCAGTTGATCTGCTGGAGGTTAAACCTAGTTTAGGTCACAGGACAAATATAAGTATTGAAGATAAATATGGGACAGATTAAAATGAAAAATTAAATGGTTCTACAAGCTCAGTAGTCTGGAATAATCTGAGACAGTTCATAGAAGACTGACATATATGCTGGACACAGATAGATGAATAAAATTTGAATAGTCAGGGATGTTGAGAAATTTCTTCCTAATTTTTTATTTGAAAATAAAAGTTACTAGCATGGAACAAAGCACATTCTAAAAGGCACTTCTCCCTCAATTCCCTTTGTGACTATCTCTAGGTCTTCTCTTCCTTCCTCTTCCCTACTCTTTCATCTTCTTTGAAAGGGCAATAAATAGAAAAGAGAAGTTTAAAAATTGAGAGGAAAATATAGGAATATAATAAATGAGGTGGGAGCCATGTATGAGTAAATGTGTCCAGGCAAAGAAAAGACTGAGATGGAGGCTAAGGTTGGAGAAGACAACAGAGAGAAGATTGAGAATCCAGATGAGTGTTTTGTCAAATTATCTTTGTGGGTGAAATCTCAGTTTGTATTTAATGTAAATGTCAATAATATAAGACAAAAAAAGGTAAAGGAATTTTTTTCAGCTTGAAGTGGGAAGTGATGAATGTAGCATGGAGGAGGTTCGATGGGAGCCACCGATAGGGCATTAGAGAGAACTTGGCTTCTCTCAGGTGTGAACTACTAGCTCCTCATTCTTTGGCCTGTTCTCCATCTGCATCCTTGTTACCTGATGGCTTCTTTCCCATGGAATTCTGGAGACACTGGTTCAAAAGAGTCATTAGATGAAGGATCAGCATATATTTCATCTTCAAGGGCCACATGATCAGCATTACGTTGTCGTGACCAAAATGAGGACTTCAGGAAAAACAAGGGTGAGTATTGGTGTTCATATTCATCTATATGGCCAGGAGACAAATTCTGGGTCAATCACCACGTTAAGGGAGAGAGTCACCCCAATGCAGCATAGCAATGCAACCTTTCTGCCAATAAACTTGAAACATGGTCAACACAAAAAATACATGTTTGGATATATATAGCTTCTTAAGGAGAGAAAAGACCACTAAGATGTCTCTCTCTATTATAATTATTGTTCCTCTGGGAAGAACTGAAGCTGTGACTTTAAAAATTCTGGAGGAACTTAAATAAATGTTAAGACTCTTCTTAACCTCAAGAACATCAGATATTGCAAGACAAATGCAAGATAGGTCGGACATGCTGAACTCTATCAACACTGGCAAAGGAGGAAGACTTGAGGACTAACTATTGCATATAAATCAACAAATATTGCAAGAGAAGTTTGATTAGGATTTAATAAAAATAAGTGACAGATTGGGGAGACTGTGGCAAAAGGACTTATAGCAAATGAACACAGAGTGGAATTTCAAAAGCTAATTTGAATTCATGCCTTATCTCAACTCCAAATCTAACATTCCTCTGAAGCAAATTTATGATCTGCATTTAGAATGCATTATCCATGAACCTTTTTCTAGAAATGAATCCACAGTATATTTGCACTTAATTATCACTTCTGTTTTCTGACATGTTAATGGACATTATGAAATGGAAGAATTATTTTTCTCTAATATTCTGCAACTGGCTTCCACTGTAAGATTGATGGGTTTTCAAACTTCTGTGTACTTTTCACATGTTCAGGCATTCATCCATGCAATAAATATATTCCGACCACTCCCTACATACCTGTCATAGGTATATTATTAGTTAGTACCCATCTTTTCCCCTGGATTAGGAAGCCTAGCAAATAAAACCATGTAGTTTAATTGAATACATTCTGCCACAAGATTTATTAATACATGATTCTATCATTTTATCTAGTTAATTTTCCTTTCTCACATTGATACTTCTTATCTTTAAAAGAATTTCTAACACAGTAAACTTGGTTAAATTCAGGCTTAAGCCCAGCCTTTTTTTTTTTGAGAGAGAGATATAAAAAGTGGGCTGGGGGGCAGGGAGGGAGAGAGAAACATGGATGGGAGAGAAACATCCATCAGTTGCCTCCTACAGGCCCGCTACTGGGGATGGAACCCATCACCCAGCCAAAAAATGCCCTGACAGGGAATCAAACCAGTGACCTCTTGGTTCATGGGTTGACATTCAACCACTGAGCCACACCAGGCTAAATTCAGTCTTAATGAATGGATGGTACAACTCATTCCAACTGTATAATAAATGTATGAGCCAAAAAGTGTAGATCCTGACATCTATTTTTTCTGGGCTCTTCTAGAAGGCAGAGGTAGTTCTTGTTCTTGAGGGATTACCTAAAACAGCACATTTAAGTCACTGCTTCAAGACCTCGCTATGCATCTTCAGTCTCACTCCCTTCCCTTCTTCCCTTCCTACCTGTGTTTACTCACTGGTGGCATTTTTACCCATTCTGTGTGTTTATGCCATTAGTGATTTCCATAATTTTTCCAGCCTTACTGAAGTACAATCAACAAATAAAAATTATATATATATTTAAGGTGTTCAATGTGATGTTTTGATAAATAATGAATTTGGGGGTGGAAAGAGAATGGGGGGGAGATAAAGAATGGGGAGATCAAAAGGGGATAAAAGGGAGCTATTATAATACTATATTAAAAATAAATAAAGCAGAGAAACCTGAAAAAAATTACCATCTTCAAGCTAATTAACATATCCATCACTTCACATGGCTTCACACGGTTTCTATTTCTCTAAGTGTGTGTGTGTGTGTGTGTGTGTGTGTGTGTGTGTGTGTGTGTATGTGTGTGCGGTAAGGACACTTGAGATCTATCTTAGCAAATGTCAAGCATACAATACATTATTACTAACTATAGTTACCATGATATAAATTAGATCTCCAGAACTTCATCTTATAAATAAAAACGTGTACCCCTTAACCAACATCTCTCCTTTCTCCACTCACCCCTGTCCCCAAACCCTGGTAACCAGCATTTGACTCTCTGTTACTGTTAGTTTGACATTTTTTAGATTCCATGTATTTGTCTTTCTGTGTCTGGTTTATTTCACTTAGCATAATGCCCTCTGCGCTCATCCACCCATGTTGTTGTAAATGGCAGCATTTCTTTCTCTTTTTTTTTTTAAGGCTGGATAATATTGCATGATAGATAGATAGATAGATAGATAGATAGATAGACATACAGACAGCACATTTTCTTTATCTATTCACCCACTGATGAACAAACACTTAGGTTGTTTCCATATCCATATCTTGGCTACTCTGAATAATGTTTCAATGACCATGGGAGTACAGATCTCTTTGAGATAGTGATTTTATTTCCTTTGGATATATACTCAAATATATAAATGGATTAAATGTATAATAAAGGCCCTTGGCGTTCTGTTTTGAATGGGAAATGCAGAGGTGACACAGCCCCTGCCTTTCATTATAAAAGGAGGAAGGAAAAAATGTAGCAGTATTTCAGCTGCAAGTACTTACTAAGTCCCTGGCATGCACCAGGCACTGAGGTGGGTGCTTGGGGTTTATCTGGGAACAAAACAGAGCCCTGCTTTTGTGGCACTCATATTCTTTTGTGTTGCAGGTTGATAAAAATGAGGATTGATCACCTATTGACTTTCCTATTGTGAAACTATGCAGAGGTCTTTTTGAAATATTGGTGCCCTGGTCCCACCACGGATAAAATGAATTAGAATCTCTGGGAGTTGAGCTGGGCTTAGAAGGTTTTTCAAGTTCCCCAGGTGGCTCTGATGTACAGCCAGGGCTCAGAACCACTGAGCTAAATAGTTAGACAAAGCAGCTATAAATTTCCATGACTAAGTACCTAGCCAGACCCACTTAGGAACTAGCATCCTAAGCATCTCTTAAAAAAGAAACAAGCCACACACAGAGTAGGGTGAAGTTCAGACAAAGGCTCATCATTCTATAAGCAAAATTTAGGCTTTAGTTCTGACCAGTCAAAACAGCCAGAGAGAAATAAAGAACTGATTTGGTCACTGGCAATAACCTTGTTGACTTCAATGACCTTGATGCACAAGATAGTTCTTTAAATAAAAACAACACATGTTAGGAGATTCATTTTAGGAAACGAAATTACTTCAACGATGTTTGATTTTAATCGTATCACTACTCACTTGGCAAAATTTTTTCAAAATAAATCGTCAATACCAGGTAGAGGAAAATATCAAAAGCCAACATAAAATGTGCTGCTATTATTTGACTTGAGTAGTTTGAAAAAGCAGGAAATGCATTGGAATTCACATCATTGTCCACACGTAAAAGCTGAAAATTAAAAGGAAATTAATTAAGGGAAATTAGGCTTATGATAAATGTTAAAACAGGTTTAGCATAAAAAATAAAATAAGCTACTCTTTGCCCCATACCGGGAATACAAAGTTGAATAAAACTGACTACTTTACTCTCAAATCTATTGGAAAGCATGCGCACGGGAACAACTACAATGCAAGTTTTAAAATATGTTTCCAATGAAATGGGAGTGTTAGGAGGAGGTAGAGGAGTATGGGAAAAGATGGCATTTGAGATCTGCCTTCAATAAATCTTTCCCAAATAGAACATGGAAGGAAGGTGTGGTGTTCTTTGAAAATGTCTCCTGAGAGAGAATTCATGCTCTTGGAAAGATCGCTGGTGTGTTGAAGAAGAACGAGTGGGCTGGTCTATATGTTCAAGATAATGAGTGCTTTATAACAAGCAGTCCTTGTGTTCAGCACTAAATAACGGACCTGTAATGAGTGACATGACCATTAATTGGAAGAATGGCAAAGTAAGTTCAATGAGAGAATTAGATCAAGAGAATTGACATTTTATGAACAGAAATGTAATTTACTAAATGCATTTTTAAGGTGTTTTTAACTTTGACTTTTCTTTTCTTGAATGGTTTCTACAATCATGCCTGCTGTTCAATTACTAAGTCAAAATATGAACTGGAAGATTTATTTAGTATTAGATTTGTGACATCTTGTCCATATTTAATTAGCTGCCAAAAATAACACTCCAAGAATTATATATTGGCCTTCCATTTTTTCACTCACCTATGGTTTATTTTACTGGGCTAAGTGCTGCGAAAGCTTTTAAAACCTCACAAATAGTCTTTATTAGGATTTTATACCTTACAATACTGAGAATAGAAATGACTACAGACAGTTAAATTCCAGAGAGGAGACAAACATAGGGTTCATACACAGCAAAATAATAGTTTATTTTTCATTGAAATATAATTTATTTTATTTTATAGTCTCGTGTTCTGAGATTTGAGTTGCTCCTATAACTAAGTGCATAGAACACTCTAATTGTTGTGTTTAAGGTAATTATTATGCCTAATCTCACCAGGATGCAGTGTGTAGACACTTATCTATGTTTGCATAGCAAATGTAACAAAAATTTCAGATGTCCGTGTTTGATTTTTAATAGAGTAAATAATGTGATACCAAAAACAAAATCCCAGAGAAGAAAGATAGTTCACAAATGCCATTAATAAGTAATTAGATGGCTTCTCACCTGGCTTATTCCAAGCATGAAGGCAAAGGGGCTGAGAAAACCCAATATCCACTCCAAGGATGCAGGAAGATGCCTGTACAAGACCGTGAATCCTAGACTCCCCCAAAAGACAGTGAGAAGGAACACGACCAGGCCAGTGAGGAATGGTATCTTTATCAAGACGCTCATTAGAAAAGCCAAAGCTATCTACAGGGAGAGAAGACTAGGTTGGTTTATGTTTCTCTATAAATTATTCCTAACAGAATAACATAAGAAATTGAATATATAAAACTAGCATTATATTAATAGTCTATGTATAAAATACAAAAAGATGATCTGAAATTTGCAGTAAAAACTGGCATTACAGGTCACATACCAGTCTACAGACTTCCATGCCAACAGAGCAGGCAGAGAAGAAGAGGGATATGTAAACAACAACCTATTTGAAAACCAACACCTAATCTTGTCAGATGAGAAAAAGTGTAATTCACCAACTCACCAAAGACAATCCATAGAGGAAAAAGAGAGTGAAGACCACCATGAAGCCAGTCCAAATGACAAATTGGATAGATTTTATAATAAGCACCAATAAAAGGGTAGCGATGAAGATGAAACCAGCATAGAGCAAACCCCAGGAGAGCCTAATGTGGAAACAAAATGTTATTTTAGTATTTCGTGTTCCACTGGGAATGAACTAGTGTGGATTCAAACATACCTGGAAGAGCTCAACTTGTGACATTTTAAATTCCAATTACCCAGCCCCTATATACCACCCTGTTCTGCCAGTTTGCTCCCTCAAGTATATCCATCATACCTGATCTCCAAAAGGGCTTCTGATCCCGGACCTCTTTTTTTCCCCTTTCAGCCTCACCCTGGCTTGCACTCCCCTTCTGGCCTAGGCATTGTCATTTATCACTTCTACCACACTCTTTCCTGTAGACTCAGTGGCCATCCCCCAGGACCCCTGCTTTGCAATCTCCCCAGAAACCCAAACCTGATATTCTCTCTTCTAGATGCATAGTAACCCCTAGCCTCAGCCTCACAAGCATTCCACTAAGGACAATGTATCCCATTCATAGGAAAAAAGGTAGAAAGTCATTACATTTGCATAATGAAGTCCACTTTCCCTAAACTCCTACCTTTATTTATTGGTACACTTGACTCACCAGAATGCTGAATGTCGAAGACCCATCATTGTCATCAAACCCTTCATCCTTTTCCTCTCTCTTGTAACATTAACAGAGGCATAATAAATGAATGGGGAAAAGAAAATAAGGAAGAATAAAAGGTAGATATCCATGGTTGTCCCTCCTTGACTCACGAAGGGATGAATCTTCATATTTTTTCCAGTAACTGACATCAATTCCTCCATCACTGAGTGATTTGTTGTGATCTGAAGAAAGACAGTGACTTGTATATTCATGGATGACAGGCTCCGTTTTCTTTCAATCATCTCTTTTACTATGAACACGTAATGGGTCTGTGTGTAGCTGATGCTAGCCCAACTTTTCACTTCCCTGTTCCACCACTGGCCCGCTAGGAGCCTCTACTCCAGGCCTCCTGAACTGCACACATTTCCCCAAATTTGCTATGTGCTTTATCGCCTCCCTGCTTAACCTTGCCTGATGATTTGCTTGCAATGTCTTTATGGCATTATCTATTCAGCAAACCTCTTCCCTCAAGCTTCAGGGTGAAATGTCATTTCAATGA